CTCCAAACACATTGAAGATAAAGTTATTGGAAGTGGTCAACATGGATTTACCAAGGGTAAATCATGCTTGACGAATCTGATGGCCTTCTGTGATGTTCTAACTGGATGGCTTGATGAGGGGAGAGCAGCAGATGTACCTCCCCTGCTGCAACTTGAGGCCATTTCCCCTTGTCCTGTCTCCTGTGACCTGGGAGACGAGACCGACCCCCACCTCCCTACACCCCCCCTTCAGGTAGTTATAGAGTGCGATAAGGTCTCCCCTCAGCCTCCTCTTCTCCAGACTGAACAACCCCAGCTCCCTCAACCTCTCCTCATAAGACTTACTTTCCAGACCCCTCACCAGCTTCGTTGCCCTTCTCTGGACCCGCTCCAGCACCTCAATGTCTTTTTTGTGGTAAGGGGCCCAAAACTGGACACTGCAGGGAGGACGTCCCTTCCAGGCTGGACAATTCTATGATTCTATGGTAATGCTGAGCCACTCTCCATCATTTATGAGAGGTCTTGGAGAACAGGAGAAGTGCCTGAGGACTGGAGGAAGGCAAATATCACACCAGTCTACAAAAAGGGCAAGAAGGAGGACCCAGGGAACTACAGACCAATTAGTCTCACCTCTGTCTCTGGGAAAATAGTGGAACAGCTTGCTCTGGATGTCATCTCCAAACACATTGAAGATAAAGTTATTGGAAGTGGTCAACATGGATTTACCAAGGGTAAATCATGCTTGACGAATCTGATGGCCTTCTGTGATGTTCTAACTGGATGGCTTGATGAGGGGAGAGCAGCAGATGTACCTCCCCTGCTGCAACTTGAGGCCATTTCCCCTTGTCCTGTCTCCTGTGACCTGGGAGACGAGACCGACCCCCACCTCCCTACACCCCCCCTTCAGGTAGTTATAGAGTGCGATAAGGTCTCCCCTCAGCCTCCTCTTCTCCAGACTGAACAACCCCAGCTCCCTCAACCTCTCCTCATAAGACTTACTTTCCAGACCCCTCACCAGCTTCGTTGCCCTTCTCTGGACCCGCTCCAGCACCTCAATGTCTTTTTTGTGGTAAGGGGCCCAAAACTGGACACTGCAGGGAGGACACTGGGCTGGAAGGGCTTTCAGCTTGACCCATGTAGCTATTCTAGTGTTGTTTACGTGTCCTGAAATCCGTTCCTGCTGGTCCTGGTGGTCAAATCCTGTGGTATTGCCCCCCAGTTCTGCTCAGTCCAGGTAACTCTATTTGCAGCTCATCAGAATGAATAAGGAACAGGAGGCTTAGCACGAGAATCACAGACCTGTGGATAGTTCCATGGCCTGACAGAAAAAAAATATTTAATCTTGTCATTTATACCACTGAGCCAGTTTTTGATGCAGACTTCAGACCATGCTGCTGTTGATCTGATGCTGTGACTTCCATTGTTTGGTGACCCTTTTTCCATGGTGAATGAGATTAACTTTTCTAGGAGATTTATACCCCATTCCTTTTATGCTATCCCACCAGAAATGATGCCAAAAAGAGGTCTTGAAGTGTCAACTTATGAGATTTTCTGGGAGGATTGGGTTAGAGACCACTTGGCCAAACTAGACATCCATAAGTTTATGGGCCCTAAAGGGATGCACCCACGAGTGCTGAGAGAACATGACTTTAGTAGGGGCAGGTCCTGCCTGACTAACCTAGTTGCCTTCTATGATAGAGTGACTAGGTCAGTAGATAAGGGACGACCTATGGATGTGATCTATCTGGACTTCTGTAAGGCCTTTGACACGGTCCCCCACAACATCTTGCTTGCCAAACTGGAGGGGTACGGATTTAATGGGTGGACTGTTCAGTGGACAAAGAACTGTCTGGATGGTCTCATCCCGAGGGTGGTACTCAATGGCTTGAAGTCCAGATGGAGAGCAGTGACAAGCGGTGTCTCTCAAGGGTCCATGCTGGGAGACTGATACTGTTTAAGATTTTTATCAATGATATAGACAGAGGGATTAAAGGCACCGTCAGCAAATTTGCAGAGGACACCAAGCTGTGTGGTGGTGTTGATATACCAGAGGGATGGAACATCATCCAGAAGGATCTGGACAGGCTGGAGAGGTGGACCCAGGTGAACCTCATGAGGTTCAATGAGAACAAGTGCAAGGTTCTGCACCTGGGCCGGAACAATCCTGGCCATCGGAACTGACTAGGGGGTGAGGTATTAGAAAGCATCTCTGAGGAAAGGGACTTGGGGGTGCTGGTGGATGAGAAGTTGGACATGAGCAGCCAGTGTGCACTTGCAGCCCAGAAGGCCAATCGCATCCTGGGCTGCATCAAAAGGTGCATTGCTAGCAGGTCCAGAGAGGTGATTCTTCCACTTTACTCTGCTCTGGTGAGACCTCGCCTGGAGTCAGGCTGAGGGAGCTGGGGTTATTCATCCTGGAGAAGAGGTGGCTCTGGGGAGACCTAATAGCAGCCTTCCAGTACCTGAAGGGGGCCTACAGGAAGGCTGGGGAGAGCCTGTTTACAAAGGCCTGCAGTGACAGGACAAGGGTCAATGGCTTCAAGCTGGAGGGGAGCAGATTTAGATTGGAGATCAGGAGAAAGTTCTTTACTGTGAGGGTGGTGGAGCACTGGAACAGGTTGCCTAGGGAGGTGGTTGAGGCCCCATCCCTGGAAATATTCAAGGTGAGGCTCGATGAGGCCCTGGGCAACCTGGTCTAGTTGGGGGTGTCCCTGCTGACTGCAGGGAGGTTGGACTAGATGACCTTTGGAGGTCCCTTCCAGGCTGGACAATTCTATGATTCTATGGTAATGCTGAGCCACTCTCCATCATTTATGAGAGGTCTTGGAGAACAGGAGAAGTGCCTGAGGACTGGAGGAAGGCAAATATCACACCAGTCTACAAAAAGGGCAAGAAGGAGGACCCAGGGAACTACAGACCAATTAGTCTCACCTCTGTCTCTGGGAAAATAGTGGAACAGCTTGCTCTGGATGTCATCTCCAAACACATTGAAGATAAAGTTATTGGAAGTGGTCAACATGGATTTACCAAGGGTAAATCATGCTTGACGAATCTGATGGCCTTCTGTGATGTTCTAACTGGATGGCTTGATGAGGGGAGAGCAGCAGATGTACCTCCCCTGCTGCAACTTGAGGCCATTTCCCCTTGTCCTGTCTCCTGTGACCTGGGAGACGAGACCGACCCCCACCTCCCTACACCCCCCCTTCAGGTAGTTATAGAGTGCGATAAGGTCTCCCCTCAGCCTCCTCTTCTCCAGACTGAACAACCCCAGCTCCCTCAACCTCTCCTCATAAGACTTACTTTCCAGACCCCTCACCAGCTTCGTTGCCCTTCTCTGGACCCGCTCCAGCACCTCAATGTCTTTTTTGTGGTAAGGGGCCCAAAACTGGACACTGCAGGGAGGACACTGGGCTGGAAGGGCTTTCAGCTTGACCCATGTAGCTATTCTAGTGTTGTTTACGTGTCCTGAAATCCGTTCCTGCTGGTCCTGGTGGTCAAATCCTGTGGTATTGCCCCCCAGTTCTGCTCAGTCCAGGTAACTCTATTTGCAGCTCATCAGAATGAATAAGGAACAGGAGGCTTAGCACGAGAATCACAGACCTGTGGATAGTTCCATGGCCTGACAGAAAAAAAATATTTAATCTTGTCATTTATACCACTGAGCCAGTTTTTGATGCAGACTTCAGACCATGCTGCTGTTGATCTGATGCTGTGACTTCCATTGTTTGGTGACCCTTTTTCCATGGTGAATGAGATTAACTTTTCTAGGAGATTTATACCCCATTCCTTTTATGCTATCCCACCAGAAATGATGCCAAAAAGAGGTCTTGAAGTGTCAACTTATGAGATTTTCTGTTTCTACAAACTGATCCCAACTAAAAGCCTGATGTAGCCCATCTCCGTGATTGTGCCTCAATGAGTAAATTAACCTTAGGTCTTGTTCACATCTGAGACAAATATCAGTGAAAAAGAGGGCAGCCCCTCCTCTTTGTGACTCTGGGGACAGGAGATTAGGTAGAACAAAGAATTTTCTTTCTCCTCGTCTAAGGGACAAAGCCGGTCAGTTTGTAGGGCAGCCATGACAACAAAACCTGGCTGGGTAACTCAAGAGTCAGGTCTCTGTGTAATGGCCAAACTCACCGATCTCCTCAGCTGAGGTTCAAGGAGTATCTCTGACTGTCAGGTCAACTAGCTGGCTGAAACCTTCCTCAATTGGCTTGGCATAATAACAAAAGAGAGGGAGGGGCTGGGGATGATGTCGAGTGACATGAAAATCTCCTTTGGGGAAGGAAGAAGAATAACCCTGGGAAAAGGGGAATGATGGGTTCCCAAGTCTCTACCCAGTGGGTGCAGGTGTGTTACAGACAGTTGTTCTGCAGCACATAAGACATTACCCATTGCACTAAGAGCAAGTCTTAGAGTTGGTGGGGCTAGAAGATGACCCAGGTCATGAGTCTGTAACTAACCAAAGTAGCTCCCATGTGACTGTGTGAGTAAAGGTACATTGTAATTGTCAGTACTGTCCCCTGTACTCCCAGAAGCATTGGAAGATATGAGTGCCTTGAATTCAAGGAAGAGGCAGAGCTAATGCTCATTGTAGCTACCAATCAGACATGTTCCTCCAACATTGTCACCTTGGCCAGTTTTTGTCAGCTGGTGATCAGCTGATGATTTGTGACCTGTGTGCATCATTCATATCCACTTCTTCATACTCAGGAACGCTGAGTTCATGAGAGTTGGGTGAGCCTGTGTCACCAACCTCCCCCAGTTTGTTGCCTGGATGTGTAAAGGCCTTACTGGCAGGAATTAAAATAAGCCTTCAGATACAATTGTTCTGAGTTGGGGTGAAGAGGAGAGAGGCTCAGGGCAGGTGAGAAGATTTTATGTCTGTGCTGCTGAGTGCTCATGACACTTGTGTGCTGAGGTGGAACATACTTCTCTCCATCACAAACCAGTATGGTACCTGTAAGCCAAAACCTCACTAACATAGTGACTCAGGACTTCTGTTTACTTGCAGTCGGAGTCATACCAGGAAGACATCTACCCTTTGACCACAGGAGCCCAGCCAGCACTGACAGCACAGGAGTGGCTGAACGGAGTTAACAAAGGTCAGCACATGGAGCACTCCCCAGCCCTTCAGCTCCCCAGGGCTTGGGTAAGCTGCTACTGGCTCTCTGGCCTTTAACTGCCAGAGAAAGAGGAAGGGAGAAAAAGGAGAGACATAATTATGTCTGTGAGCTAAAGTAGTTTGGTGGCTAAAGTATTCACACTGTGAACTCTGAAAGCTGCTCTGGGTGCCTCCGTGTTTATCCCTGCAGGCTGTTTGAATGCACTGTTTGCAGCTGATAATCTGAGTGTTGATTGTTTGTGCTAACGCACCACCTGCCTCCCTCCACAGGGCCCCTCTTGGTATCCTTGAAACCAGGCTCTGGAGCTGTGAATTCCTTACTACAGCTTCCTGAGCCAGAGCCACTCATGGAGACTACTGACCTGAGCCAGCGCCAGGGCTGGGGAGGAAAGAAGCCACTGGAGGACTTACAGAAGCAAAGTGATATCGAAGACAGGAGAAAACAGCTGAAAGTGGAGGAGAAAATGCCAAAAAATGAGGAAGTGCGTCTCTCCAATGACTTTGACATATTCGAGTGTCCACCACCTAAAACTGAAAACGAGGTGAGAATGTCTGGGGTGAAGGGTTGGGGCTGTGGGGGGAAGCCCAGAGTCAGCTGGCAGATGCTGTTCCCAAGGTGACAGGATCTGAGAGAGTTTATTTTGCAGCCCCGGGCCAGTGCGAGGTCTGCCAGCACCAGGGCAGAAGCTCTGCGTGCCCTGGTTGCCACACGGGAAGCAGAAGTGTGGCCCAGCAGCACCTCAGCTAAGGGGATCTGGAAAGGATAGAGCAATCAGTGTTTCTGCTCGTTAGTAATTCTTGTGGCACAGGCCTGACTGCTGGCTGGCTGGAGACAAGGAGATCCTTGTGACCTCCAGATTCTGGAGAAGAGAAAGGGTGTGATCCTTCAACGAGAGCTGCACTTGGAGAGCCTGATGAGGCAGCAGGGACCCCTGTGGAGGGAGTGGATGTACCCTGCTCCCTTGGCCCATGGCACATCCATGTAGTCTGAAGGGCCAAACCGTATTGTGGACCCTGACAAAGCTTGTGTAGCAATAGATCTCTGTGGTGATTTGCAACCTCTCCCCGCCCCGCTCCCCCAGTCACTGGTAGCCCAGGGACATTTTTGAGTATAAGCAACTTGTTTGCTTTAGGAGCCCTGGAAGGATTTCCTTCCCTTAGCCATGCTCAGGTCCCCTTTTCAGTTCTGTAACATTTTAGTGTCTGGAGCTTGTTGGGGCAAAAATTTCCACAGCTGAATTGCCCTGTGGTCTGAAAAAGGATCTTCTGCATGTTTCTGAGCTGGCACCTTGAAGTTATAGAAGCAACCCATGCAGAGCTGCGTGCTCTGCTGTGTGCACAGTGAAAGGCCACGCTGGTCCCATCTGGAGAGGGCAGAGCATGTTCAACAGGAAAAAAACTGTAAAAGATGCTTGTCCTCCCAAGGTTGGAGTAGGAGATGTGGCAGATCCAGGAATTTAGACTCCAGATAGTCTAAGTATCATCTCTTTGAGTGATCAGTGGAATAAAGGTTATTTTTTCTGCTCTTTTCCTTAGAATTAAGGAGATGTAGCATTACTAAGTGGTGCTGAGAAACACCCGCCCTCATAGTCCAGGCTAGGGAACAGCAGGAGCATTGCTAATGTTCAGTCTGTTGGCTGAAGGCCTTCTCTTCAGACACTTTTTCTCTCAGAAGTGATGTGACAGGATTGGTGGCAGTTGACAGTTAAGCCTGTGTTTTTTCAGTGTAAAATATAAAAGTAAAGAGTGACTCTTCTTACAGCTTTTGCAGATGTTTTACCGGCAACAGGAAGAAATCCGTAGACTACGTGGGCTGATACATCAGAGAGATGTCCAAATTAAGCAGCTGGAGCTGGAGCTCAGAAACCTCTGCATGGACACAGGCAATCACTGAGGGTGCTGGCCTGCAGCTCTTTGCCCCCCTGGCAACTGGGCAGACTCCTAGGGTGTTTGCGGGGGGAAAAATTGATGCTTCAAGCAACGTGGACTTTCCTGGCTTGTGGTGGTCACAATTTCCCTAATCATCACCAGACAGTTATTGATGGACTTGATGTGCTTCTTCAGGCTCCCCTTGCTTGCCCGCTCACTTTTGTAAGAAGCTCGTGCATTAGTGCTAGTGAGAGACTTTGGAAAATCTTGTTCTTTCTTGTCCTGGAGAAGCCACCTGTTAAGCTCTAGGAACAATGTTTTCTGCTGCCCTTCCACATGACATGAGGACGGGAGACTGAAGGCTGTCAGCTTCTTTTCCCACCCCTGGACCCAGCAGTGCAGCTCCTGTGGCCGCTTTCTTCTGCCCTGGGAGACCACTGTGCAGCTGAGCTTCAGAGGCACCTCTAGCTCTCAGGTGATCCCCGTGCATCCCTCTTGCCTCATGGCTTGGTCCTGTGCAGCTGGGTGGCCCAGGCAAAGCTGTAGCTGCCCTTACCTGGTGCTGGGGATAGTCCCGCTGCAAGCGGGAGGCTGCACTGGGGCTGCCAAGGGACAGAACTTTTGTGGTGGGTGAAGGAGAGTTGGTATTTGGAGGTACTACTTTAAAAGCGCAGTGGCGTAGGCTGGTTCTCGCCAGAGAAGCTGCAGGTGCAGAAGAGGTCGCTGGGTCCTTTGAGTCAGTGGCCTTCTTTTCCTCCTTCTGCCAAAGACCAGCTGCAGTCACCTGGGGGCTGTGGTCCTGTGGTGCTCAGACAAATGAGGGCAACGTATAAAGCTGCACAGGGGGTTTGCCGAAAGGGAAAAGAGTGAGGGAGGAGTTGAACCCTCCAACCCACTGCAGACCTTTCAGCAATGGTGCTAGAAGCATGGTGTCAACCACATGGAGGATAATAGGACTGCAGCCGGTCACAAACAGCCCTCCCTGGTTGTGGGAGTGAGCTTCCTTGTCCTTGTGCCCACAGCTGCTGCTTCCTTAACTCCTAGGTGCCAGTACCTTGTCCCACGCCTTCAGCCACCTACAGCTGCAGGCTGCCTCTTCCCAGCTCTGTTTCCCAGCCCCCTGCATCCTCCAGGGCTGCCCATCTCCCCAAGCCCTGCAGCCACGCTCATCTGTGCCCTTCAGCACCAGCCCTCTGGCTCACTGCCATCCCCAGCCCTTCGCTTAGGGCAAGAGCAGCTGCAGGGTGCTGGTCCCATCCTTGGTTTCAGGGCTGGCCTCTGTGACCAGCTTTATGGAGTCAGCCTGCAACGTGCAGACAGGCCAGAGCAGCAGCGGGGGAGTGCACAGACCTGCCCATCCTTGGGGGTCTCCTCTCATTTGTTCCAGCGGTGCAGGGCAAGGGACCGCAGTCACAGTGGCCCTGGGGTCTGAGCACAGCAGCAGCTCTGTGAGGGGAATGCTTTACCTTGCCCCGAATGCAGAGCTCACGGAGATGTCTTCAACATCAGCAGAGCAGGCAACTGCTGTTTATTTAACCTGTAACTGTAGACCTCTGTGTAGGAATGAATTCTATGCCCTGCTAGTTCCCTGAAGCCTAATGATTTTCCAAAGTCTAAATAAATAAATAAATCAATCTCCATAGTCAGAAATTCCCACAGACAGGACTCCTTAGCAAGGGGACCGAAGGCGGTGCGCTGCCTGTGCTCATGTGAGATGCCCCTCTGGTTGCCCCTGACAGCAGTAGCCAGCAGGAAGCTCATTAGGGCACTAGATATTCTTAAATGAGAATCACACAAACTTTGGCATCCCTTTGGCTTTGCTGCAAAGACTTCACCCAGCTTTCAAAAATAATTCATTCATTTCTAAATAGCCACAGAAAATGTGGATTCTAAAAAGTCACAAATATTGTTTGCTTCTGCAGCACTACAGAGAGGGAGCAGTTGTTCATATTCCTAAGGAAGAGTCCTTTAGCATCAGTCAATTACTTAATACTTCTCCTTTTGTAAAAAGTAATATATTACAACAAAGTTGCTGAAACAAACTTCAACTCATTTCAGATCCTCTAGAATGGACTTTCCTGTGCCCTGGGAACATTGCTATGTGCGGTTACATGCAAAAGCAGCTCACCCCAGATACAGAGCTTTAATCCAAACACGTGAATCTTACACTAGAAGTGGTCAGGCTTTTTCACCAAAGAGAAGAGCTACATGAGAAATTGAGAAACTCATAGTTTTTCAGCCATGTCAAACGGGCCTGACAGCTTCAAGCTTCAAAACCATTTTCATAGAGGGTAGCACACAGGGATATGAACCTCTGGATTTCAAGATACCATTATCAGAAAGGAGAGCACTTGACGCAGCCTCAGCAGTCCAGAGGATATGAAACTTTCCTTGTCACTGTATCTGTTTTATTTGCTGGAATTTATATTTTTTTTTTGCTTATTTTTCATACAAAATAAATTATTTAAATTACTTCCAAGTTAAAGTAATTTTTCCAGGGGATATTTAAATCCGCTTGAGGATTGTTATCGTATGACTGGCTAGCATAGAAAGTGGTTGGCCACTAAGGTTCTTATCTTAGGGTTGTGTCAATTTCAGCATTTCTGGAAAAGAAGTTGCTTTTGTTTAGGCTTTACTGGCAATGTAAAGGCAAGACTATTCAATAAAAATTTCTTTTTTAGACAGTATGCCCATAAAAGCATAGACTGTGAAATGTATTTCAATTCAGAGCTTAAATGCAGCCACAAATCTTTCAAACAGGGAAAAAAGTGGAGAAAATGGAGTTATGTGTTAATGAACTGTGCCTAAATAAACTTAAGAGATCATTTTAACAGTTTCTAAAACTCCTAACAGCTTTGTAAAGAACTGTAAAACATGGGGATAAAAACCAAATTTGTGCAATGAAAAGCAAATGTAACTGAATAATAAATATATTTAGAGTTATACCTTTTTGATACATGCAAAGCTGTTGGCTTCTTACTATCATTGTATTCTTGAAGCGATTAAAAATTAGGCTGAATCAAGGTCGGAAAAGAGTGTCACCTGCTGTCTTTTTTCCTTGCATGAAGTTGTGGCTTTACATTAGTATGGAGGTTGTACACAGCCTATAAAGTGCATGTGGGCCTGTCTTCTTATATCTTTCCCATCTGTCCTTGATGCTACAAAAGGGTGGCCATTTCAAACCGCCCTGCGTCACGCTGCTGTGTGCATTTTCTTGAGTAAACTGAATCCCTTGGAGAAGCACTACTGCCTGGTGAGGTGTTTCCTGACCACGCTGACTTGCAGTCCCAGAGCTACTCTCATCTGATACGCTCTGGCCAGGGTCTTTTAGATATGCCACATGAGGAGGATTTAGTGTGTTACTACCAGATTTACATCAAGATGTATAAATTTACATAGAAGACATTTGATTTTCAGCAGGATTTTGATTTAGCAGAGTGAAGCAGCAATGACAATACAAGCACAATATCCAACATCCAGTTGGATCCCAACACAAATGAAATTCCCATTACTGATCTCTCTGTGCTCACTGTCATGACGCTGACTATCTCCAGCCACCAGAAAGAAATAGGTGGGTTGAAGCCAGTCCAAGCCCATAGCTCTCTTCAAAGTTTGTTTTATTGGTTGCTCAATTTTTGCACTTTAAGTTGGGTTGAGCCCCATGCTGTTCTGTCTGGGTCAGGAGGACATTCGTGCCTTTTGATTAACTCAGGCCACCTACACAACCAGTTGACCACTCAACTGATATACAAATTAATCTGAAACAAAAGCCATTCTCCACTCCCTTTATCACTGAGATAAGTTCAGCTGTCTTTACAACAGCTGTGGTTGCTCCTTATGCTCTTTCCTGAGTATCATAAGGAATGATTACCGGAATGGGCATCAACTGTTCCCCTCTCTGAGCCTCCTTCCACTGTAAGGGTTTGTTGATCGGTCAAAGCTTTGAGCACGGAACTACTAACACCAACATTTAGGATGTAACTTCTCTTTGATAAAACGTATTTCAGGTCAGTGTTAGGGAAAAATAACCCAACCAGGTGAAAATTGCTGAAGAAAGTCTGTGCTGGGAACTTTGTGCACCAGCCAGGCAGTTAGGACACTGTGCCCTCCTGGTGGTCCTGTCTTGCGAGGGACCTTGTACTGGGGAGAGTGACCAAGCAGGCATTGCCCGGGAACAAGTTCCTGGGCACTGTGTCCCTCCTCTGGCACTGACAAAGACCAGAAAATGGCAGCAGTGGACAGGTCAGTGTGGGGGGCAGAGGAGTAGCCTCCAGCACCTTTGCTGTCTTGGGGTTATGGCCACTGAGCCACAAAGGGAGAATGAAACACAGTGTTACTTGCCTGCTGAATCTACAGCTGCAACACATCATGTCTTCACCCTCTACTCCAGGCCAGCTGCCAACTGCAAAATAAACTCCACTCAAACTTATGCCATAGTTGTCATTCTCATTTCATTTCCCACCGCCTGAGTCTGTGCTGTTGGTGTGCTCAAGGAGCCTAGGAGGGGAAAACTGAGTGGTCTTCTTTTGCCTGTACAATTAGGGGACTAATGAGGCAAAAATGTAGTTAATTTTGCAAGACCTGTGCTGGTCTTGTACCTGTCTACCTGTACTATGACCTGGGGGCTTTAATGTCTCTGGGAAAAGTTGACTACATCCAGACAAACCTCTGAACTTGTTCAGCTGAAGCTAATAGCAAAAAAACCTTGAGTAGCAGTAACACCAGGGCAAAGGGCAAGCAAGGGGAGAGAAAAATGGGATATAACAGCAACTGGGAAAAGAAGGTGCAGGGGCAACTGGGTGAGACAAATGTATAATCAAGGAGGTGATTAGCAAATTTTGTATAATTTTGTAAGAGAATTCTGTACCAGTCTTCTGTGAAATGAAACTCTGAGCTAGACCTCCTGCAGATACTTATGAAATGCAGCAATTCCTCTTCAGTTTAGAGAGATTGCACCAGTTCTAGCTCATGGTTACTCTTCAGATCATTGGTCTTCACCTGCATTTTTATTTTTTTCTGAAAGGCCGACTTTATCCCTCAAAGCATTTATGAATTAGTTCCACAAAGAGATGCTAACAAAGAAGAGGCCTCAAATAACGCAGTCAGCAAGCTGTGATGTTCATGTGCAGTGAATTCAGAAAACAATACACTCAATTGTTCACCTACTCATGAAGAGAAAGAAATGTCTGTGGTTTTATGACAGTGATGTCAATTAAGCAGCAATTGATAGTTAAAAAGCATTTGTTGAGACTTGATAGAGAAGATGATGTGTAATCTTTAATAGAAAAGATGATGGGTAATCTAGTTAAAACTATAGGGCACAAATATAATTAAATTTTCTGCACATAAAAATTGTAGTGAATATTTAGGGTCTTAATTGGATTTTAAAAAGCCAGCAATATCAAGTTAATAATTGTGACAACCAATAGAGTATCTAACTAAATGTCAGTATTTTTATTAATTGATATTTAATTTTCTGTAGACTGTCTTGGCAAATGTTAATTAAATGCCAGAAAATTCCTTACAAATTTTAACATATTAATAACCTTAAATTATGCCTTTATTGCTTACATAATTGTAAGTTAATTACACAGCTACAGACTTACTCTCTACCCTTTGCACAGAGCTCAGGAGGATGAGGTTTCTTATGGGTCAATAAACTCACCAGCTTATTAGCTACATAAATGGAAAGGGAATGCCGATCCTGTGTATCATGTTCTTGCTGTGGTGTAGCACACATTCATTTCTGGGCAACTCCTAGTTCTAGTCAAAGAATTTTGAACCAGGTGCAGTGTAGTTTTTCCCTATTTCCAGGATATATATGGAGAAAGGCTCATTAATTAGGGCTGGTAATAGTCTGGGACTCAGAGAAACAGTAAGAGCTTAGAATACTTATATTCTTGATAATCAAAAAATTGCAGCTGCTTTGGATGACTAAAGATTGCCATTAGCTAGCTTTAACATTTGTAATTTAAATCATTCAGGACAAGAAAAGATAATCTAGTCAGCATGACCAAATGCTTTGTCTTTTAGTGAATACTGCACTTATCATTCA